AAAATACGTTGATCACCACATAACAAACGGCAAACATCCACCAAAGAGAAGTCACGAATAAAATCAGAGAAACTTGACCTACTGGCATCTCGAGAACAAGAAACTGGAAATTTATCGAGAGAGAGATCTAACACCACGTTAAAATCACCAACTATGATAAATCTATCCGAAATCGGTAAACAGGTAGATAATGATAAAAAAAATCGTTTACGCTCATAAATGTCCGACGGCGCATAAACAGAATACAAATAAAAAGACTCATCTTCAGAAAAAGCACATTTTATAGCTAATAGTCGACCATCAGAATCCGAATAATGTAATGAAACTAAGTCAGAAAAACGACGATGCACTAGTATGGCTACCCCCTGTCTCCCCCCAACTGAATTAGAAACAAAAACCGCCCCATTCCATAACTTAGACAGTATAGAAACATGGCTATCAAGGAAAAAAGTCTCCTGTAAACAAACAAATGAATATCCAGACAGAAAATAATCTACATATTTCACTAACTTGTCATAATTACGTAAACCATTACAGTTCAAACAAGCAATTTTGCAATGAAAGTCAGAAATAATGAAAGTTCAAAATTAAGTGGTGGCTACGGTATGTACCTCAAACACTCGAGATTTCGGCGAATGGCAAACAGGTGGTGCAGATAAACGTTTCCGAGTAGTAGAAGTATCCATGGCTGTCACTGATGCATATTTCCATTGTCGGGCAGTCGTAACAGAAGTACATCGCGAAGTAATCTCATCCGGCTGCACATCAGACGATTGAATAGTGGGATAATCGGCTTCATAATCGATAGGTTGACTACGAGAGCGAGAGCGTTCTCGACTTCCTCGAGAAATAGGCGATCGACGAATGACTGAGGGAGTCGCATCCTGTGCTTCAGGAACAGGAGACTCTACAGGTGCATCAGGTTCTCCACAAACCTCGTCAACACAAGTTGCCCAATCCAATGGTTTTTCAACACCATGAAGCGGACTAGCGGCGATAGGCTCTACAACTGCGGGTTGTGATGGTTGCAAAGCCGCAGGACAAAATCGAGCAATGTGCCCCTGCCGGCGACACTTAAAACACACCAACTGGGGGCAATCAGCATACAAATGATCGTCATGAAGACATAAATTGCATACACGTCGTTGATTGTCATGTTTGGTCCGAAGAAAGATGGCCTTCCCCAGTGGATCAAAAACTTTTACCACATAGGGTAAGGAGGAACAAACTGTTGAAAAACCAACCCTAACATGCCTTAATACCCAAGTAAATGCCAGATTCTCTCTTCCAGACAACTGGCCCCTTCACAGTACAATTAAACTCGCCTAATTTAGTCAATAAAACAGCATCTGAAATGTACTCGGGCACCCCCATAAACGATACTGTGACTACTCTATTGGCCACTCCAGAAACCAAAAAGTTGTTACCATTAATCTGAAGTCCATGATCCATAGCAACGTCCACATCAGAGTCCACCACAAAAGTAACCTCATAGCCTCCTGGTCGCGGCACAACAGACGAGACAGAAGCCTCGCCATACTGTACAGATACAGCATGCAACACGTCGCCATGACTGATAGAAGAAGCTTCGATGAATACTGTTCGGTGCATAACAGCAATATCTGAAGATAAAGCACTTGCAGAATCAGACAAAGACTTGTTCATTATGATCCCGAATACACTCACTACCAAAAAAAATTTGAAAAGTTCAAAAAAATTTCGAGGTCTACTAACTGAAGAGCTCAAAACACACGTCTGTCCTCGACCTGATTATAAATATCCACGATCTCCGTGACAGGTGATTGTTGCAAAATAGGATTAAGAAAAAGAGACCCACAAAACGATCAAAAGCCCGAGACCAGATATTCTCCCAATCAGCTGGAGCAACGATAGACAACCAGAAAGTTGGTGTGTGAAACTGGAAAAAGAAAACCCTTTTTAACAACCGAGTCAAAACCTTAAGAGGTAACCTGGATAACTTCTGTAGTTCTCCTGTAAATGAATTATGAAAAAAACAGGGAGAAAGAAAATGAACAATCAAGAGAAGGCAAACAAGAGACAATACTTTCCCTCCAAAAAACAGGTAGACTCTTTAAGAGTAAAGTCAATCGTTTTAAAACAAAACCTGCACTTAAAGAAGGAGAACAATCTAATATCTGTTCAACCACAGCCGCATGCCGTAAAAGTCGAGGAATAACTTCATACACCAAATGTTTCACCTGTACAATACCGGCATCAATAAATTCACGAAAATAGAAACATTTTCCAGAAGTACCAGTCCGTGTAACCACAACAAATAATCGAGTTTACGAAGATCGTATCATTCGTAATAACTGTTAAATTGGTACATATGCCTATACCTGGTTTAGGTTTTTGTTCTCTTTGTGAGGTCTGTTTGGAGACAATTTCTCATGTATTTTTTCAGTGTCCAGTTGTGCACGACATTTGGAATTTTGTGTTTCTTCTCTTAAATCAGTTGGTTGGTCGGGATTTAACTGCTGGTGGAAAGAGTTACGGAGCTTTAGTTGGTAGTATAAAGGGATTTGATGGGGTAAAACGTAAGTTGTTTCGTTTGATGACGTCTTGGGAGAAATCAATGATTTATTCGGCTCGTGGAGCTAAGCTAGCCAGCGATGCCATTATTTCATTGGTTTCTTTTTATAAGGCACGATTAAGAGATCGTATATATATATTTTGATTATCAACGGTTTTTGTTGCAGAAAAATTTAATTGCTTTTTATTATCTATACGAAGAACATGGAAAACTAGTTTATAAGTGTGGGGAGGGTTATGCCCTTTGCAAACTATTAGCTTGGTATCGACTTATAAATGTATTGCTTTTTTATGTCATATATTTCAGTCTGTTATAGATGGGTATTCTATTGCATATAGTCTTTTTCGTTTTATGTTTTTTTGTAAATGTATTATTTAGTTGTTATTATTTCTCTTTATGATCGTGTATGTTTGATGTAACGTAAATATGTTCATACCCTCTGAATGAGGGTGGTTTTAAATAAAGAAAAAAAAAGATCACCGAAGTTAAGCAACGTCGGGCTTCGTAGAGTGTGGACGTGTTCATGATTAGCTCTGCAAGTGGTTCGAACGGGAAAAGTTTTCAGGGTAGTTCTAGTGCTAGTATGGAAGGAGGTGTTAATTCATTGTTACCTGGAAATATTGGATTT